TAAGCCTGGCCAAATTGACTTCGAAATTGACAATTTACGATCGCTGCCCGCGCGTTTACTCGCCTGCCCGTTCATTCGTTCGTTCTCTCGTCTCGTTCTACTCATCTGAACTCTTTTCTGGCGAGCGTCAGGCAGCCATGACGTTGAATTCATCAGAATGCCATCGCATTCGCGATCGAGACTCGTTACGCCAAGAGATACGCTTGTTAAATTATAAAAATCATAATGCTATTAATAGTTACTGCGATAAATGAGTTTATACATATAATATATACACATAATGTTCTTGCGATAAATGTTATATTCAATTACAATGTATTATGCGATTTTTCAAATATTTCATATCTTATCATATCTAGGAATCGGATTCTTAAGACATTTTGTTAAAATGCAAATGTTTCTTTCACGTCTGGAAGAGACGTCTCTTATCTTGATTTGTTAGTAAATGACACCAACTTCCCGTTATGTTGACAAGACATCGACAGGAAGGCATCATAAGGAATTCTACAATGTGTACCGATTTAATGTGGCATAGATAGGGTCAGGATGGCACACACGCGATATTCGCATGACAGACCACGCACCTAGTCTACATCTTCTCCTCTCCTTCTGCTCGACACGCTCTTGCCATCGTCATTTCCATCCATCTCTCCCTGAACGTGAAACATGAATGGCAAATATTTGTGTTACAATGTAATCATCGTTCTGCCAATAACGAGCGAGCTTAGTGACGGAAAAAAAACAAAATAGCGGAACTCGGTAACGTCAATGGTAACGCGATTCGAGAAAACTAATTAACGTCGCGTTCAACGCCATCCAATTTGTCGTGTGCCAAATGAATTTGCGAATGGAGAACGCAGGCTGTTTTCTAATAGCATATGCGTTGCCTTATTTCCTACTGCAGCGAATGTACGCGAAAATTAATAACCGTAATTGTGCTTGGGAGAAACGATATTCATATCCGTTCCATTTGTTTCCGTATGTGAAGGAAGTTTTGGACGACACACAATGGAGGGACCTCTCGCGCATCGATTTTAATGGGGAATTATGGTTGGTTTATCGTCAGAGTTTATCGTAATGGGCGCAGGAACTGTCAGGTGCGGTAGGAATCGCGAGAAAACGCTCACGTTAAATTACATCGAGGTCGATTGCGCGCGGAGCGGTGCCGCGCTTTCCACGGAAGCGGCTGCCGCATAATTAAGACAATTAAGGTACCCGCGCTATAAATCACACCGCGCTCATCTACTTAAGGCTAATATCAGATCGGCAATCTAAGCGAGTACCACTTCCACGTACAGTTAAATACATGCTCGATCTATCTCGTTCCACCGTATTCGTTATAAGCTCGATCGCTTCATTTTTTTTCCGCTCGATTTCGCAGATTCCGTTCGTTTGTTCGTTCGAATCCGCCGCTCAGAGTTAGCGCGTATTAAAACACGGGCAATTCCACCTGCGTCTTACACCTGATGTCGATCCGACGCCGGACACCTTTGCAGCGAATTCGAATCATGAATTCGACTCGATCGATTCGATTCGATCGGCTCGCTGCGTTTTGTTGCGCCGTGTTTTTTGCCCGCGTTGCAACACACGGGTTACGCCGAATACGGACGAGCGGAATGGTTGGAAGAACCAAAGACTTTTCGAAGTCGATAGATCGTTAAACGCCCCATCGCTTACGAAAGCCATGTAATTCCCCGCGAGTCGCGCCGCGCGATGAGTCTCTTTCTCTCTTTCTCCCGGTTTTTTTCTTCCCTCGCCCCCCCATTTACTTCTGCGCGTTTCGTGTTGCCTTTTCTTTCTCCACGCATTTCTCCGATCCTTTCTTCCTTTCCTTGCCGATTCCACTGTCGATCTGTCTATCCTTTTCTCGCGGAGCGATCTGGTTCTCCACCGAAGGTGCAACGATCATTAGGGCGGGGAACGATCGAGATCGGGGGGCATAGCACCTGGCTCGATCATCGGCAACTCTTAATGCCCACACGCAATTTCGAATGAGAACCCGGCCAAATACAATACAGAAGTGTGCGCTGCCGAATCTAATCGATCGATCGTACCGCGCCGCGAATAACGTACAAAACGATCGTTTGAGCGATAATTTCCAGCCGTCTAACCGTTTCGATCGCTCGAAGACTATACTCGACGCGACTCGCTTGTGAATTAAGTGCGGCGGATGTCTGTGTTATTCCGGCTGTGTAAATCACGCGACAAGAGACGGACGGGCTCGAGAAGTCGTGAAGTTTCCGATCTTCGATCGTTCATTACGATTATGCCGCTCTAATTGCGGCCTACTCGTGTGTACATAATTTGCACGAGACGTACGCTGGCACTCGTAAATTCTTCCACGATCGCTTTCGCGGAGACATTTCTGGAGGACAACGTTCTGAGGAGGAGAGCAACCTATATAATTATCTGGAACCTTCTGGCAACGGCATTGAAACCACTTTTTTAATAATTACGATCTGAGAATATCAAGGATAAGCTGCCTGAGTAAGCTGATTGCGCGCTTTATCGAAAAGAAACTTTTCAAAAATTCCTGTTTTTACGTTACTTATATACGTTTCAATTTCTTTCACGTTCTGATTATTTCATAGTAAAAGTTAATTTTCCCTGCCGTAATCAATATGGCGTAAGTTGCCAGCTGAGTTCGCCCCGAAAGACGGATCAGTTTCCACGATATAAAATTGAACGAACGGTAGCACGGCCGTTGTTGCCGCAACGCGCGTTTATTAGCGATCTCTTGATTCCTTGGCCAACGGTCTGATCCACGCCCATGGATCAATCGTTGACCCGCCATTGTTTCGCTGCATAATGCAGGAGATATTGCGTAAATATCTGACTCGTCGGCAAGAGAAAACTTGTGGAGAAACAAATGTTGTATATTACATGCGGAAGATTATGTTCAATGCCCCGTACCTTTCAATCTTTAACAGATACTTATAAAATATAAATTTTTTTTTGCGAATGCAGCGTAGTTGGATAAATATATCGTTTCAACTCACTTATAGATTTCCGATCGTTAAGAAAAAGGTTTCTAAACCGGCACTGCTTGCGCCGGCCGGCGCCTCGTCTTATTTCGCTGATCGCGCGGCACGCAACAAATGCGCATTATGCGAGATCTAAGCGCTCAGAAAGTGCGCTCGTGTTTTCGGTGTAACCTGAAGCTAAGCGGTTTAAGAGATCACCGCCGTATAAACCGGCCGTCTGAGAATCGTCTAGGGATCCCGCGTGCGTGAGAGGCAGCAGTGAAAAAGGGATGGGGCGAGAGACAAGTAGCAAGGCGAAAAAGAATGTCGTAGAGAGTGAGAAAGAGAGGGCGGAAGAAGTGGGAGGAGGACGGCCGAAAACGAAGAGAAGAGAGTGAGATACTGAGGAGGAGATGAGGAAGATTCTGGGCAACGAAGAGGCAAAGTGAGAGGGCAAGGCAGAAAGACGGGATGAAAAATTAGATTTACAAATCTGTCTTGACTACTATGAGATTGCTCGCTTACCGGTTAGCGGTGCTCAGCCTTCGTCTCGTTATTCCCTAACGATCCTACTCCGTGAATAATGTACTGTTGTGTGAAGGATGCATGTGGTATATAATTAAGAAAACGATCCTGAGTCTCTAAAAAATGCATCTCGATCATCTTCGATGTGTCATTCTATTGAACGCGATCAATTAATCGAAATTTAATTTATCATATATATGGAGATGCATCGTGATTGGAAAGGTTGAGAACATTCGCGGTGTTATATCGAGAGTAAAGAAAGGTAACAAGTCCCGGATATTCCCTCGCTAAAGCAAAATGCATCTCTGTGTATATGTGCATATATATATATATATATACGTGTATTTCGTGCGTAACGTCGTAGTGTTGATGTGAATGCATGCGTCGTGCGTGTGTATGCGTGAGCGCCTCTCTGGCGCCTACCGCCTATGAAAAATGAACCTCCCTCCTCTGGGCGCACCAGTATCATCGTCACTATCGTACAGATTGTTTCAACGGAGATCTTCCTCGTCTGCTTCGCCGCCGACAAAGCTCGAAAGGTGCCAGTGACGCTCATCAAAAGAAAACGCCGGCCACTCGAAACGGAACTCGATCCTATAATAAAGCACGAATCTCTGGAGAGTAGATCGCGGAATCTTCCATAAGATTTATTTTTAGATAGTCTTGTGAATGCAATGAAAATCTTTCATAATTTATTGCATAATTATTTATTGCATAATTAATTACGCAAGTATTTTACCATGTAAGTCTTAAAAGTAGAACTCACGTAATTTCATTCGCCCATTTAATGTTTATATTCAATCATTCGTGCATAATTTTATCGTATGTTACGTGAAGATATGTTAATTTAAAGATAATGCGCAAAACTTTGCAAATTTGTTTGTCAGTCGATAACATGTTTGGAGTGAAAGTCATATTATTTTCACGGATTTTTTGTTTTCCCTTAGTCATGTAAGAGTCCGCTCTCGAAACGTTCACAAACGATCTACGTAGATTAGCCAACAAGATTTTCAAATTGGTTCCTCGGCTAGTGAGCCGGGTGTTCGTTTAATGGTGTTCGCGCGGCAACGCGGTTTCTTCTGGGATGCCTTTCCTCTTGAGTATAATCTTAAAATCAGAACTCGAGATCCACTCGAGGTATTGCAAATAAGACTTATTCACAGAGGAAAGATCAGCAGGCGGTCGTTAAAGCAATCGTTTCTACATACGTGTCGTGCCACGCAGCAGTTTCCAGTTTCGCAGCTCACAACTCGATTCATAATCATTGATAATTCGCAGTTGCGATATTCTCATTTCTCGCGATACCTAATCGGCCAAGACGATCTCGATCGTACTAATGAATCGGGAGACTTACTTCCGTGCTTCGCGCGCGAGGGCTGATATTTCCTCCTTAATCTTTTCAACAGATAATCGGTCGCGATGAATATCGCGGCCACGACGATCGGGGTAAGACATTACCTCGATGACAGGTGTCTCTAACCACAGTAACTCTCTCTCACTGTACAGCTCCAGGCCAGGAAGACCCCCAAAGCGAGCTTCCGTTGGGCTGAGCCTTGCGGCGAGTCACCTAGCCGCGGCGGCTGGCCATCATCCTCAACACTCCCTGAAGAAGCACAGACTGGACAACGGCGATTATTACGAAAACGGACATCTCGGTGAGTATATACTCAAAATTATTTCATTTATAATAATATGTGCAAAGTTACCTTAAAGTAACATTGAAAGCAATTATATCTTATCGATGAATATTAATAATCAGAGATCTTTAGAATCATCTCTGCTGTATTGCGATCGTTATTGTCAATTTTAATTCGTTTGTGTTTCTTTGAATGATAAAAATATGTAAATCTAAATGTTCTGATTTTTGATCGAGATTTTCGCGGAAGAATTTAGACGTATAAACGCGCGCAGACGGCCGAGCGTGGGGTTATGCCAAATAGAGCACGTACGTGCAAATAGACGTACGTAGCGAGGGCCACGCGCTTGATTACTGCCATCCGTATATACGCTCTGGCATACGGTGACCCTACCGATCAATTAATTAGGGGAATCAAACACACTTGGAGTGAGCAAATTAACTGCGACTGCACCGTCGTGTTGCGGCCTGCGGTGGCGGTCACCGATGCCCGGGATATCGTACGATCCCTTTACGTACGCAATTGATACTCGCGCTGTCTTCACATTCCCCATGCCGGATTCCGATCCAGAAAGTTCCTCTGCCATTCTCAATTTATCTCGTGGCGTTGCACCGCTTTGCGCATCGCATCGTCGTATGTAATCATTCACTAATGATCAGATATTTCATTAATTAGTAATACTTAGTATTATTAATAACATAACGCAATTAACAGTATTATAATCTCGCACGATTTCGTTCATCCTTGCGCGATATTCATCGCTCGCTGTGAACATCCGGAAGATCGATAAACGCGCATACAATATTCATTGGTTTATTTGCGCGGACTCTCTTTGTGCTCTTCGATAGCGCTTTGAAGGGTGTCCGTTGGGACGCGCTTATTTCGCAGATATATTATCATCGGGGGACATACAGAGAGAGAGACAGAGAGAGAGAGGGGGGGGGAGAAAGAGAGAGAGAAAGAGAGAGAAAAATGGGGACATTATTGCCGTCAACGCTGAGAGAAGGAAATCGTTAAATCACGTCATACGGCGGCGGCGTCGATCGACGTTCGGAAATTGTTTAAGCAAATAATCGCGAACACGCCGGCCGATCAATTTTACGGGCAAATACGTTTCACGGTGCAACGTTAATGAATTAATGCCGCGGCGCGTTCGCGCGGGTCCGCGCCTGCAGCCAGCCGCGCTCGTTCTCTCGCGCGCTCGTCGGGGTAAACGTTGAAACGGCCGGCAATTAATTACGGCCGCGCGGTAATTGTATAATTGTTTTACGATTGGAGCCGGTCCCCCTACTCTCGTCTCTCGTCTCTCGTCGCGGCCGTATCCCGGTTGCACTCGATCTGCTCGCTTAAAATATATATATATATAATCGGTGTATTATATAACCGTTCGAGGAACAAATTAAAGAGGTTGAAAACGTATGTAGGAAACGAGACGTGGAGAAAGAGAGTCCAATTTTTTTTTATCAATTTCGCCCGGTGGCGAGGCACTTCCCATAACGCAATTAATAAACTCAACAAGCAAGATCCGATCGCGATAGCAGGCGCGAAACATGCGTTTCGGGAGCGCGACGCACAATGGATTCGGCACGACGCTTGTGTGAGTGCATACGCGTGCGAGAATCATCGCTTGATACGCATCTATGTTGTCTCTATGAAATTAAAAGCGGCAAAAGAAATAAATAGCGAGTGGAAAGAGAGGTTTCCCAAAAGTAGCTGTGCGTTTATATAGCCGCATCATGACGATTATAATCACACATAAGCTTTATTCTTATTTTTAACTCGATCGGATTGTAAGATGACGCAAATCCATAATTTCTAGAAACCGAATCTGTGTAATCGTTGGATGTATCGATCGTGAAGGCGTTAATCAAATTGACCCGGCATAATTTATATTACGTGATCTAATGCATATCGAATTGTTTATTAGCGCGCGAACTAAGTCAATTATCCGGTCGGTTTGGGCGTTTGGGCGAGTGTGACGAGCATTAGCTCAAATATGAGCGAATTTACTGTTAATAAATTTTCGACTTTCCTCAAGCACCCGAATATATAACACGTCACCGATGTCCGCGTGGTCGAGCAATGAACTCGATTCATCGGCGACGCTCGCGCGTTATAACTAATACATTACGTCGACGGGCGTAATCGTTCGGTCGTTTAAACGGATAGAGGCGTCTCGGTGGTGGTAACGTAAATTTTGGGTAGTCGCTCGAAGAGCATGCGACATACATACACGTGCAGAAAAGAGAGAGGAAGAGAGAAAGAGGAGTGGGAAGCGTGTCACCCTCGTTGGGTGGCTGGATGGGTGGTGGTTGGTTGGTCGGTCGGGTGGATGGGTGGGTTCGGCTGAACGGGCCGCGGCTTGAAACGATGGTGTACTGCCAAGCGAATGCTCATAAAAGCATTGATTAACTGTTGGCGGTCGTAGGTCAGCCGGCACACGGCTGGCCCGTGTACCAATAAAACCCGGCTAATAGTGACCCGACATCGCTTCAATATCATGCGTCGACCATCCCGAACGGTCTCGTTGCCGTGTCCGCGACAATTTTCACGCTTAAAAACAATAGCGTAAAAGTCTCTTCAGTTGTCGTGTCAAGATTCGACTTGCTTCTAATCCCAAAAAACGCACGTTTCCCAAAACAATTAATTGAGCGAAATGATATTTCGATTGTACGATTACGGTAAAATAAAAATAATCTATACAGATAATGAATGCTCGTTGACGTTCGAGAACACGTGCATCTACTTCTTCTGTCTTTAATTTGGAGAAGGATACAGTATGTACCAAAAAAAAAATACGACTTTCTTTTAATCACTATTATGTTTGCTGAATGTGACACAGTAACGTCATCTGCTGCATAATCGAAATCGTATCGAATAAATATTTGGTAGGACAAAATATTTGTGTTATAATCAAATTTGCCCCCGTCTACTCACTTTATTTAACTAAACTGACAACTAAAGTGTTAGTTGTGAGAGTCGTATTTTTTTTTGCGCATGTTGTATATTCATATACAGTAAGATATACATATATATATATATATATACATATGTATACACTAGTATCATCACCTTGCTGAAGAGTTAATTTGATTAATTATATTTATTATGAATGTACAATTTGATTAATTATATTTATAATTATTAACTGATTTGTGTGTGTTAACTTACGATTGCGCACCTAAATATCGCGCCTTACTCATATATTTGCCCTTTCCTCATTTATTATTTGTCTAATTTGCGAGTCCTATTATACTTTTAGCTTGAAGAAGTAATCCGATGTGCTCGTAGAATTGCTTTACACATTTCCGGGAGTCACGCATATATAAGATTTTAATTGCTGCTGGCGCGCATGAGTACTTAATGAGCAGTTATGTTTTGTTGATGGTTTGATAGGGAGAATAGATTACTATGAATAGGTATCTCTCTTTTGACGACGGCGTTACTTGTATATTCATAATTAGATGTTATCAATGGTTGGTGGAGAACTTAATAACTGGCGTTATTGCTAATTTGCTTAGTAATTACGAGTTAATATTAAAAATAGTAGATTATGTAATTAAAATTAGCCGTTTTTTATATGGCTTTATCGTTTCGTATTAATTTTCTAATCTAAATCTATTTTCATTGTAACATTGATAAACATGTTTATTTCATGTACCAGAAAAAATTAAAATCGCTGAATATATTATAGATGCGAAGACAAAGGTGTTAATTATTGGTTAAATTATTGGAAATGATATATTGTAAATTGATTTGGACGTAAAGATACTAAATATTGCAAGTAACATATTACGAATTAACGATCGTTGACGGAAGTATCAAGTATATATTTCGTGTGCTTGTGTAAGCTTGTATCCAGTCCTCCTAACCGCGGGCCATCACAGCCCAGTTGCGGTCGATGATTCCGACCAGGCCAGGTAGCCGCGCAAGATAATTAATGAATTGGGGAAACGATGACCGTGAGACGAGGATATGTGGATTGCATTGATAATTTTTGTCGGTTAATCGTATTAAAGGAATACGTATCGGAACACAAAAGCCGTTAGAGACCCTGAAATTTTCCTGAGGTCCGGAATTACGCTCACACCGTGGAGAGAGAATCGAATAAAAATAATCATTATGGTGAGAACGTCCAGAGTATAATCCATTTATATAGACTATTATTATGCTATATTGATATTGGAATATAATAAAAATTTCGGTCAAACTTATCGAAACATCGTTGATAAATGATTGTTATTGCGGGCGGTGATTCCCATGATAAATTCAAAAGTGAACTTGAATTTTTTATTATAGATGAAACACAAAGTGAAGCAAAATAAAATAGAGAGAGTGAAAGTTTTGAGATATAACCTCTATACAGTCGGTCTATTATTTTTTGCCTTTGTGTCAGGTCAGTAACGATTCAGTCGATTTTCTACTCGTCATAGTCGATTTTCTACTCCTCATCATTTACAATCAAGGTTTACTATTTTTTTATCCGGTACGATGTGGTCGTGCTTGATTGTTTTTTACGAGAGGAAACAAACAGAGAGCGACGCACAGTACAATGAAAAAGTGGCTACATCTCAGCGGAGGCTGCGAAGGGAAATGTAAGAAGGCGCCAGAGTTAATCGGAGTAACAAAAGCACCGCATGTATTAACCTCTTCATTTTTGTAACGCCTTTACTGCACGACGCGTGACCGTAAATTAATCGTGTCAAGAATTTTCGCGTTTCATCACTTTTTGCGTCGCGAGGAAAGAGCCCGTGCACAGCCAGCGTTGCAAATGAAGACGTCAACGAGAAGAGGCAAAAAAAGTCGAAAGAGTTTGCACGTGCACGAGAGAGAAAGAGCACGAGGTCTTAGCATACGATGAGAAAAAAGAGCATTATTAATATAACGTATTATTGATATCCCTTTTACTGTAAACTGCTTCCCGCAATCACGCGTCAGAAAAATACAACTCGCGTGAATGCAGAGGGATGTTCGATCGAGCCTTATCTCTGTGATTATGAGCTTTTCCTTTACGGCGC